TGGAAACTCAGGACATCCTGATGCCACCAGAGTTCTTACTGCTATTTCCCCATTAGCTAAATCTTAAGCTTATATCTCAGATAGAAGGCAGGTTTCTATTCCTGTTTTGCTTGTGGACCAGGCCCTCCTTGACTAGTCTTCATTTTTCCATGCTAGAAGTGACAATTCATTTTCTCCAGGCTTAGGAAAGACTACTCTTGCCTTGTTTCTGGCCCTCAACCCAACCATCCCACAGGTAAAGCACCCAGCTAGTCTTTCTTTCATGGGGAGGACTTGACAGTTGAGAGGGAGAGCTCAAAGGAGGTCCCAAGTGGGGAGGAGAATGAAGACAGACAAGGGAAGAAGAGTGGGCATATTCAGGGATCACATTCTGCTTTGGGGTAACACCTTTTCACAGATATCTATCTGCAGGCTGGAACCCACAAATACAATGCTCTTTCTGCTATGTGTCAAAGATAGGCACTGAAATAACTTTAAGAATAATAAAGGAAAACTCACCATTTCTTTGGGAAAAATGAAAGTGTTCAAAGCAAACTGATTCTGCAATCCATAAGCAAGCATGAAAGGAATCAAAATAATGTCTGACAGCCAAAGAACTCGTATGCCTCGCAAAAGCTAAAGGACCACGTTTTATAATCAATCTATCTTCATTAGTTATTGTTTGCCACATAACATATTAGCCAAAAACTTCATGGCTTAATACAAGAGTATATTATCTCACAGTTTCTGTATGTAAGAAATTCAGGAGGAGCTTAGCTAGGGAACTTTGGATCTTGGTCTATCAGGAGGGGGAAGACACAGAATCAGTCAGGACTGAGGTCATCTGAAGGCTTGATTGGGGCTGAAGAAGCCACTTCCAAGATGGTTGCCTCAATGGCTGTTGGCAGGAGGTCTACATTCCTAGCTGTGTGGCAGGGGGTCTCTACATAGGGTTACTTCAGAATGCTCACAACATGGCACTGATTTTCCCCAAAGTAGAAAGTAGTCCAAGAGAGAGAACAAAAAGAGGTCGCAGTGCCTTTTGTGACTTAATCTTGGAAGTCTAACACCATCATTTCACCACATTCTGTTAATTGGAAATCACTAAAATCAGCCCATATTCAAGGTGAGGGGAATTAGGTTCTACTTCTTGAAGGAAAATTTTGGGAATATCTTTTTAAACTACCACACTGGCTGTCTTTAGAAATTGAAGAAGGGTGAGTTGTGATATCAGATTAAAAAGAATTGGTGAGAAAGGATGGTTGGTCCACATTAGTCTTGCGTGAAATGATTAGCTACATTTTGTTACTAATTTCATATGCCAGGAATTGGCCATCTCCATAATCAGTCAGTACTGGTTCTAAATGAAAACACTGAAATCTCTATGCATGCCTGATATAAAATAGTATTACACAAAGAAATAAGGTTCCTCTGTAGAATACCTATATTCAGTCACTTGGTCATATAACATGTGATGGTTGCCTTATTCAGCATTCTCTCTCAATAGCGTTCAAAACATTACTTATTATTTTGGACTTCAGGTGCAGGGAGTTGACTTAATCATACCTATCAGCTCATTGCCTTTGGTCATTTCCAACCTACATAAAGAAATTCATTTTCCCCCTTTCTATCTCCACTCACCTATCTTTCTCCTCTGCTCTGTCAGAAGCACTCACTAACTTGCTTCATATATGTTCTTTAATATTACCAAAGGATATGTGATGCTATTTGCTATGTGTATGTATTTAACACACATAAATAAAACTGTGGTACTAAAACGAAAATAAAAGGAATTGAAATAGCCTAGGTATTTAGAATGACGTATCAGGATTCGAAATTCTAAGTCTATGTATTTTTAAGGGAATATTGAGAACAAGTGTCCATAAGAATTTCTGGAGAGAAATGAGACCAAAATGGCTAATTTTGCAGCACAGAAGGCCAATCTCCCTCCTCTACTCTGGCAGCAAAAGGAGAAGCAAACAGGCCAAGGGCCATTACTGAGATGAGAAAGAATATTTTGCTTTCTGCCAGACACTGGCCTAAAAGGAACTTGCAGTGTCCAGCAATATGGAGAATTAGTGGCCTGACAAGCCTAAAATATGGTCAATAGTAATAAAAGTTAGCTAGAAGAAGCCCAGAATTTGAACTCTGTAGCAAATACGCAGTTCTAATCCTTCCCTTCCCCCTCTCTTTACGATTTAAGACTTGGCAAGAGAAAGTCACTTGACAATATTTATTAGCTCATTAACTATAAGTGTCTTTGCTGCCATGGGAGATATTTTTTATAACAATTCTATTCTGTTCTACAAACTATGCTGCAGGTGTCTCTCCATTGTGTAAATGAAATGGTGAGTGCTAGCTCTCTTTTGGCATCCAAGATTCATAACTAAGTATTATTTTTTTTTTCCAGCTAGTGAAAGGGAACATGGTCAGACTGAGTCAAGCCTGGCTGACTTACATGAGGCCAACTAGGCAAATATCAGTGTTGCCGGAACATGGACAGTTATGACTATCTTATTTCCCCTGTTCAGAACCCCCATTCCTGAGAAAAGGGGAAGGGAACAGAATTAACATGCACCAAGTGCCAGATACTGTATCAGGACTTTTACGTACAGTGTTTAATTCTCCCAACAGCTGTATTAAATAGGGGAGACATTAAATAAGGAAGAAATATTTGCCACTAATAAAGCAGATGAGGAAACTGAGTATCAGAAAAGTTAATTTGCTCAGTCACACAGCTGTTATGTGGGGAAGCTGGGATTCCAAACTAAGTCCATGCTTTTCAAACGCGTAAACTTCTATGTCTAAAAATATAATACAGTATCCTCAAACATTGCACAATTTCTTGTTTGCTTTCCAGAAGATTGAGCTTAAAGATTCAGTTGCAGCAATAGAATAAAATGTCATTGAACTTTTGATAGAACAAGATTTGTTTTCTTAGAATGAGGAACATTGATTCTTTAAGTAAACCAAAATGTATTTTTCTTTCTTTCTTTTTTAGAGAGAGAGAACATGAGCAAGGGAGAGGGGCAGGGAGATAGAGAGAGGATCTTAAGCAGACTCCATGCTCAGTGCAGAGCCCCATGTGGGACTGGATCTCATGACACTGGGATCATGACCTGAGCTGAAATCGAGAGCTGGATGCTCATCCAACTGAGCCACCCACGTGACCCCCAAATGTATTTTTCCAATTGATTGTTTTCAAACGTTAAGTCTTTACCATAGCTTAGCTCTTATGTTTTTTTGGGGAAAGAGGGATCTAGCCTACCAGCCTTAATTGGTAGGGATGTGATAAGTCATTGACCAAGATGTACCAAAAATTCATTCCTCCATTTTTTTTTCCTGCATTCACACAGATTTTCCATTTTCCCCCTACTCTTGGTTTGAGTGACTCCTAATTATTCTCTAAAATGTATCTCACATGCCAACTTTTCTGAGAATATTACCTTTCTTCTCTTAGTACCATATACAATTTTCACTGTCTTGTACAGCTCACTCTGCACTTTTTAATTTATTTTTATGTATTTATTTATGTATTTATTTATTTAATATAATTTATTGTTAAGTTGCCTCACATACAGTGTATATAGTGTGCTCTTGGTTTTGGGGGTAGATTCCCATGGTTCATCGTTTACATACAACACCGAGTGCTCATCGCAGCAAGTGCCCTCCTCAATGCCCCTCACCTGTTTTCCCCTGTCCTTCGCCCCGCCCCCATCAGCCCTCAGTTTGTTCTCTGTATTTAAGAGTCTCTTATGGTTTGCCTCCCTCCCTCTCTGTTTGTAACTAGTTTGTCTCCCTTCCCTTCCCCCATGGTCTTCTGTTACGTTTCTCAAGTTCCACATATGTCACTCCGCATTTTTTAATTGGTTGATTTGTCCAGCAGCTGGAGTATTAATTCTTCGAATGCAGGGATTCTGCCTCACTTATCTTTGCATTCTCAATACCTAATGGCTGCCATTTAGTGGGTTCTCAAGTTAGTTATTGAATGAATTAACGAGTGAGTGAATGAACGAGTGGTTAATATTAGATAATTTTTCATTAGGTACCTATGCTCTCTAATAATATTTCATATGAAGTCTAATGTTGGGTTCCACTTCTTTGGTGATATTTTTATCCAAAACCCATGGAACAATGACACCAGAACACTGGGGATGAACATATCAAAGACCAAATCAATTTCTCTCTCTTCTCTCTCTCCTCTCTCTGTCTCTGTCTCTCTCTCTCTCTCACACACACACACACACATACATACATATACCTTTTTTTTTTTTATAAATTTTTTTTTTTACATTTATTTATTTTTGAGACAGAGAGAGACAGAGCATGAACGGGGGAGGGTCAGAGAGAGAGGGAGACACAGAATCTGAAACAGGCTCCAGGCTCTGAGCAGTCAGCACAGAGCCCGACGCGGGGCTCGAACTCACGGACGGCGAGATCATGACCTGAGCCGAAGTCGGCCACTTAACCGACTGAGCCACCCAGGCGCCCCTCATATACCTTTTCTTAAACCAAGGGATCAGTAGAGCATCCCATTGCTTTGCTATGGGATGAAGGACTTTTGAAGTTCATTTATGTGGGTCTCATCTGGAGAGGACCTTGCCCCTACATGACATTTATCCATCAATTAGGGTCCTGGCAAACTTTTTTTTTAAAAAAAGCTGTTTATTGGAAGAGAGATTTGCCAGCATCTGAGAATTGTCCCCTAAGTACCTGGAACTGAGAGTTTATATTCTTGTGAGTTGAACAGAAAGTGTTTGGTGGGAGGGCATGATTAACCATGACAGGACAGTTGGTTAAACATTTCATCATTTTTGGCTTCAAAGTTAATGCCTACTTAAAATTAATTCAGTCATTTCAGAAGGTGAGAGTACAATATATTTAAATAAAATCATCACAGAATGTTAAAACAGAAAGTCTTTCCAGGGTTTTGAAATAACTTAATTTTACATGATAATTAATTGAATTCTCCCCTTACCCTATTCCATTTGATTAGAATTAGAATCACTTTCTTTTTTTGTAATGAAAGCATTAAGGATCATTTATCTAACTTTTCTCTACTAATAGGGCCTCAGAAAATGATGTTTCTGCTTTCCTTTGCCCTGTCTTGATGATCAAAGAGGGTGTTAGGAGCCCAGCTGAACCGAAAGTAAAATGGCCTGTGACTCAGAACCAGTCCTGAGGTTGGTGGGGATGGTAGCCAAGGGGAGAGGAAATGGGGTGCTAATGACATTAGGGAGAGTGGCTCTCCAGGGGAGAGCACTGATTTTACAGGTTTCGAGAGAATTTATGAGATAATTAATATCGGCAGTTGTGCACATTTTGTACGGGGAGTACTTCAGACAGCAACTAGATAGATGCCAACAGATGTGAAAGTAATAGTCCTTTGGATTTCAAATGCTGTCTACGTCTACATGAGGGGGAATCAAAAGAGTTCTCCTTGTTCAGGGGATGTTCGGTATGAACAACCGCAGTTTTATAAATTACCAGCCATTATTTTTTCCTTCAGAGCGCTCCATAGATTGCCTTTTCGAATTTTTCTTCCTTTCTGAAGCAACGTGCCTTGTAGACAGAACGACCATATGTCCTACAATTTTGAGAGCGGTTCTGATTTAAAATAATCTATCCTGTCGTATGCCCCCCGCACATTAGATCGTGTGACCAATTTGGGGTTCAGAAAGCGTGGTCACCATAGATTCAGCCATTCCAGATGAACAACTGCATTCCAGCAATCGCAGACGATTTGATCATCTAGTGCTTGATGTAGCACCCCCTCCGGCTTGGACCCCATGCGCTATTGTTCCTGAGCAGAAGAAATGAGGAGAAAGAGAAGGGCATCACTCTCCCACAACATTATAGGAATACTATTCTGCGCAATTTGTAAAGTGCAGACAAAAGTAGTTTGTTGTTGTGGTGGTGGTTGTTACTGTTGTTGTTGTTAACTTACATGATGCATATTGTGGAAAAGTTAAAAGCAAGAACGTAGCTGAGCAAAGAAAGGCATCCAGCCCTGTCAATTATCCTAACCACAATTACTTTTTAGTATTTTGATATGCATATATAAAAACATGTTTTTTATATATGGTTTTTCTTAACCAAAAATGTGGTCCCAATATCATGGACAGTTTTCTCACCATAATTCTCAATTAGCAGTGTGTCACATCTTTCTGTATCATTAAACACATATTTACATCATCCTTTTAATCACTGCCTAGTACTCTGTACACATATGCAATAAATTAATTAAAAGTCCTTTGAATGTTATTTTGATGTTTTGCTATAATATACGATACTGAGAAAGGCACGCTTTTCTTCACATCAAATATTTGGGTGGTGATAGGAGACTTTGTCCTCTAGAAGTCTGCAGATCTTCCTGAAAGCTGCCAGGAACAATAGCTTGTTGTAATGCATGCAAGTCTGGTCCTTATATGCCCAAACACATCAGTGACACGCTAATGAATCCTACTTTAATCTTTGCTATCATTTTCCATCGGCTTCTCTTGTGTTTCTCAAGGACTCTCTGGTGTCCAGACCAACTTTCTTGATCATCTCGTTGCCATTATTTTTTTGGCTGGATGTGGCAAGCATTGTTCTGAGGTCAGTCTATGGTTGAGTCTGTCTGGATCACATTTTCGGGTGGTGCATCACACATCATGTCTGCTCCCTGGCTCCGACCAACAAGACTTTAAAGAGATTTTTTAAAAGGCTCAGAAAGTTTCTTGGATATCAAACAGCTCTTATAAAAATAACATTTTTATGACTTAAAATGTAAATGAATCAGAAACATATGGATTAAATTTCCTTTGAAATACCCATGGGTTTAAAAACTGGAGGGAAGAGTGCTTGCAAAATGAGTTAAATTGAGTTTTGCCAAAAATAAAATGCTTGAAAAATTGTTGGGGATGTTTTGCTGATCCCTAGGTGTTCATGGGTTCTCCATTCTCTATCTGAAAAGTACTTAGATTTCAAAATTTGGGTCGCTCAATAAAAGGCACTTAAGACTCATCCAATGGGCATTTGGATCTCTAGTCAAAGAAGTGATATCATAAAGTCAATTTTTGATCAGATGTACTTGTAAGATGCCTTACTTCTTCAGTATCTCACAGTTTTCTCCACTGGCTGTGAGCATGTGTGAAAGGTGCATCCAAGAGAACTAAGACTATGTTGGTAAGGATTGATAGTATTTATCAAACAAATCCAAATGAACACCCTTCTCTTAAGTTCCCTTTTTCTGTCCGTTCCTCCAGTTCTTCCGTACTCTTCTATCTTGGGGTCAGTATCCATAGAAGCAGAGCTTAAGACAGGGATTCTGGAGTAAGTGACTTCTTGAGGAAGTGCTCTCAGGAGAAACGTGTAACGAAGTGAGGGAAACAGACGAGGCAAGGACAGAAGCTAAGCAAAGACGTGGTTTCAGCTGAAAACCAGCCTCAGCCTGATCTTAGAGGGAATGGCTTAAGGGGAATGAATAGCTTCTTAAGTTGTCTCCCCTTGCGGGCATATCCCACATCAGTCCTTGGAGAGGGGGGACATAACCCCCCTGGCAGCTGGGGGAAGGGCAGCTCCAGTCGGCTGAGGACAATTCTTGAGGGCACATGTCCAGGCAAGAGCGTAACTGTGAGTCCTAATCCACAATATCTACAGCAGTTGGGGGCTAGATGCAGTGGGTCCATGAAGGGGATCTGGGCAGGGTATCAACAGTGCTACGTACGTACAGTGCACACATCCCTCTTTCTCAGAACCTTGAAGACATCTTTAATTCTTCCCTTTCCTGCTTTCCCCCTATTCAATCAAATTGTTTCCATTTTATTTTCTTGTGGTTTTTCTTGTATTTATCTTCTTTGCCTATTTCTCACTGGAGTCAATTTAGTACAGGCTTTGTTGCCTAATATCTGGATTACCTATCCATTTCCCAGCTAAATTCCCACTTTAGAATATCCCCTAACCTAGATGATCCCACACATTGCTGGATTACTATTCTCCTCCAAACACCATTTTCAAATGCTTAAGAATCAGTTGTATTTCTTAAATATCTATGAGAACATTTCTCAAAAATTTCAGAAGGAAAATACATGAAAATTGTGGTGTTCTCTTTGGAGCTCCATTAAATGCTAACATAGTAACCTTAAAATAATGACTTTTTTTTTCTTGCTGTATCTGATATTATACTGAAGTAGATTATAATATGGAAAAATAAAGCTTGAGCAAAATAATTTGAAAAATATTGAGAGAATCTATCAATCAATCAAGCTAAAATTTTACTTAAATAAAATGATACATAAAGCACTTGGACCAGTGCCTGATAAGAGTAAGTGCACAATAGATACAGGCTAATATCTATTAGTCTCATTACTGGTCTCTCTGGTCACACTTTTGTCATCCTCCAATAGATACTTTAAACAGGAGCAACAGTGGTTATGTTTAAGCTTCCTTGCTTATATCTCTTCCCCACGTGTTTACAGTGAAACCCAATGTTTACCTTGGCCTGTAAACTCGGTTCCAGCCACTTCCTAACACATGCTTCCAGCACATGGGCCTTCCTTCTGTTCCTTAAATGTTAACCTCTTTCCTGTCTCAGGGTCTTTGCAGCTGCTGTTTCCTCTACCTGGAAAGGTCTCCTCCCACCCCACCTAGCCCTTGCATGATTGGATCCATTGTTAGGTCTCAGTTTATATATTTGCTTTTTGGAAAGTGTCTTCCTGACTAGCTCATTCATTCATTCATTCGTTCATTCACTCATCCATTCCATAAGTATTTACTGAGCACCTACTCTGTATCAGGCACTATTCTAGTCCTAGAAGAGAAAGAAAAACAACGATCACAGTAAAAAGGTTAACAGTTCCTGTCCTCACAGAACTTACATATGAGAAGAGAGAGAGAAAAACAAAATAAGTAAGCAAATGTATGTGTGAGTGTGTGTGTATGAGAAAACAAAGGGGAGAAGATGAATAGAATGATTGCTACTTTTGGTAGAGTGGTCAGAAAAGGCTTCCTTAAAAATTTTAGGGATCTTTATTTAAACAAAGACCTGAAATAGTTCCCCCCATGCCACTGTATATTCTGCATTTCAGTCTCTTGTGTTTTATCCACATAAAAGCTACTTATTAAAATTTGATAATTATTTTTTCCTTCTTTTTGTCTGTTTTCCCCACTAGATTATAAATTTAGTGAGGACACAAACATTCACTATTATAGTTCCAACATGTTACATAGTACCTGATGCATAAAAAGCATTTAGCATATATTTATCCAATGAATATATGAAGTTGTTTATTATTACTGAACCAAAAGAGTTATTCTCAAATGCAATCTATTATATTGGAATGAAATAAAATGCCATATGTGAAAGCACATTGTATGATGACAAAAGCTTACAATTCACAGTGAATTGTAATGAATAATAATTCTGTCTCATACTTTTAGGATAGAGATGGGGCATAAATAAAAGAGGAATACCTTGGTTACCATCTTAGCAGTGATATGTGTTTGCATTCCATCATATTGCAACAGAGAACATAAGCAGAGACATATTCCACCTCTGAACCTCTGATCTGTGTACCTTCCCCACCCCCACCCCATGCAAATATAAAAGAAAGAAAAAGAACACTCACCAAATCTTCCAGGTTTATCTCACTTTTCCCAATAATGCCTAAGTTGTGAGAAGATAAAGATGAAGTATGGACAATGACTCATTAAGATCATTTTGGGTGAGTGGCTGGGAATGAAACCAATCAAATTGCTTGTTCATTTTTGAATAATTAGTCAACAGACTGAATTATAAAATTTTCCACTTGTGTGGAAAATTACTCCTAGATCTGGCAAGAAGCATCCTTTCCCTGGGCTCTGGGCTTCTGAAAACTCCCTTATGCTCTCTAGCTGAGCTCCTCCTGATGGGGCATTCTTGGGGCCAAAAAAGACTTGTTCATGTAGAGATCATACCTTTCCCTTCTAGATTATGCTTTGGTTACTGGAACCTCAGAATTCTTTGTCCAGACACTTTCTGGACCTGTGTAGGCTCTTTACCATATCCTACTTCCAAAGAGCAGTTTGCAAAGCTTATGTGCCTACCTCTAAACCCAAAGAACCGTAACTGAAGACTGGCCACTGATGGGGAGATCAGTCATGCCTTGTGGGCCAGGATTGCTTGGCTTGAATTTGAATGCCTCAAAGCTCACAGTATTTAAGT